GTTCTGTCACCTCACACAGAGCTCCATCCTCAATTCTTCCACTGTATGAGCCCGCATATGAACATTCACTAGAGAATTATACTGACTGTAACCAGATCTGAAATACACTCTCTTGCACCACAGGTTTTCCAATGCTGCCATGCTTCAGGACTGGAATTCCCATGTGATGAGCTATGGCTTCTCATCACCCAGGACTCTGCTGGACCTGTCAGAGCCCCTAGAAGTGCCAGGACGAGAAGCTTCTGAGAAAGAAGGCGGTGCTTTTGTTTGGCAGGGCCCGAACAGTGATGCAACCGTGTTCGCTGGTAATAAATGGATAGAGCTTCACAGTTTCATTTCACGCGGGATGGAGATGCAGGACGCGGATTCTTCGGTGGTATGGCCGCGCAAAGAAACCAGCAAGAAGCACCCGGCTTGGCTAGAATACGCCCTGCAGCTTTCCCGCTTGAGAGGATACTACACAATCTACCCAAGTAGCGGCACAGCGGAAGTCATATTGGGTATCCACGATGACATCCCTGACGTGCCTGAAGAGTATAGCGAGGATTCAGAAGCGCAGAAGGATGCCAAGGGCGACAGTGCCAAAGACCAAGCAACGAGTTTGTTTGATGTGGATTCAAAAGTCAGCGTCTTGTCGACTCTATCCGGGGAGGGCGGCTTACCCTCATTATTAAACTTGCCCATACTCTCGTGGGACGGCAGAGAAATATCACCAGAAATCCTGGAGAGGGACGCCCGTGAGTATGCGGCGAAATTCCGCCGCGAGGTGGGACAGTGTGGTGTCACTACGATACCCAAGGGGCCCGACAAGTACGCTCGGGATTTATTCTGTACGCCCAAAGAGGAAGATGTATAAGTAAACTTGCCGGTTCGCGATATACCCTGGTGGTCGGACGCGCGCCGCCATTCCGAGTGCTTCGTTATTTTGTTTATTATCTATGGGGTCCCAAAAAAGTATAGCGATGATCCCTCTGCTTGCTCATGGAAATAGTAGTTGCATAGCGAATATCATGTTATTTGTACAGTACAGGCTGGAAAGAAACGAAAGCCAGAGATGAATATCCATCATACCCACCCGAAAACCATCCCGAGAGCCCTTGCTCTTTCGTTGATCGCAATCCACCGTAGGATCATGCATGTTGCAACAAGACAAGTTGCCAAAATCCCGAGACTCTTGATGAAGAAAATGCGTTAGTAGAGTTGTTTCTCAAGAATATGAATTGGTTGAGGATGCGAGAGACGTTTTCCAAACTTACTAGCTGTGTCTTCCACCCCGATTGAACAATGGCCGCCTTTTGGCTGTACTGATTCACCGTCCCTGGGTCATCCCATCAGCGAAGCCCGAGAACCAAACCCGCTTACGGTAGCTTAATAGCAACTTACTCATGTAATTGCCAACGCCCAGCAACAAAGTCATGACGGAGAGGAGCCAGAAGACGGCGCCGATGGGCTTGGCCATCTTCAGCTCGAGCTCCGTCGGGGCGCGCTTGATGTGGAAGGACATGGTGATGACGATGGACGCGATGGCCATGTACACGGAGAGCTTCAGGTACGACAGGAAGGCTGTTTTGCTTGCCCGACACCGGGCAACATGGTTAGAAATAGGACGAAGGGGATAAGATTTTTCAAGGCGGCAGGGGGAGGGGGGGCTGCGGCTCACTTCTCTCGTTGGCGCAGTGGTCGCGCGCATCGCTGTTCTCGTTCTCGAAGAGCAAAGGGCCAAAGGGAGGCCAGGCGAAGAAGACGGATGAGCCTGCGCGTGTGTATCTAGAGACAGGTATAAGCTGGTGGGGGAATATATTAGGGAATCGAGGGGAGGGGAACGAACCCGATCTCGCCGACTTCTATCGGGGTTGTGAGAGAAGACAGAGGCACGCAGAAGCGGTCCGTGAGGTCCTCCTCGTCCCTCTTTGTGTGCGCCATGATACTGATGCTGGGATTGATGTTGAACAGTTGATGATGATGCCGGGGGAATAATTGCGGGGACTGAGTAGATCAGTCAAGTGGCCGGGAGGTCATAAGACATGTGTGTGCAATTGACAGATGATGGGCGGATATTATTAATTTTGAGAATATCAATTGGGTCTGTTTTGCTTCTACAATATGGCCAGAAATGAAGAAAAACTCAGCTGATGTCAAGTATTACTTCAGTGACATAGAACACGGCGAGATCTGATCTTGTATTTGCATCAATTATGGTTGAGTTTAGCATCTCTCCTAGCTCCTTGTCGTCACATGACCCACATATTCCACCATCAACCCACGTTACTCCACAGATCTCTCTGTGCATGTAAACAAGAGGTAGCTAGAGTTTGTATTTAAATATCACCAGTGCTATCATTGATTTGTCCCGAGCCTCCAACAATTCTCAGGCTTAAGACACTGTCAGGATGCCTTGAGAAAGGGGCTGCCTCTCATGGGGCGAGAAGTGTGATCCGGTCATTATAGCAACCAGGGAAAGGCTTCGGGGCATTAAATCGGTGCTAGTGATCGCTCTTGGCTGCTTCCTTAATATACGAATCTACCGGTTTGCAGTTTGGAAGTCCGTTTGGGCCGGCTGCTTGTCTTTAGAACTATGACACCCAGAGTACATAGTCACGTAGAGAGCAGACATATTGATCGTTTCCATTTAAACCGTATCAAACCCCCAGATGTCGCTCCATCTCTTTTCATCCTCCCGAACAGGGCCAGCCAGGCGCCCAAACCTGGCTGCGTGTCCCGTGTTGGCTTCGGGCAAGCACATCCACTCTCTCACGCAATCAGGGACCTCCTCCTTGATATGGGCGATGCATATCAGAGCTTGCTGATCTGACAAGCCTGGGATCGAGACAGTCCCGGCTTTGGCAGCTTCGCTTTCTACGACTTTACCACCACGGTAGGTCTTGGACTCTCCATCACTGAGGAACAGCACGCACTTGTCTCGGACACCGTCGTCCATGCCGCTGAATGCTTCGTCCAGCACAACAATGTCAGTGCCTTTGATCATTGCCCGAATGAACAAGGCCACACGCTGAGCACTGAACGAGATCTCTCCAAACATGTAATTGTCCGCCCATGAGAGATCCCCATCTTGGGCAGTTGCCGACCCTAGATTCGGCTCAAGTTCCGGGGTGAACCATCTCAACGCCGCATCCACCTTCTTCTTAGCCTCGGCGTCGAGCCTGGGAATCGACTGAAGTGTGCTGGCCCACGCATTCTCAATCACTTTCCGGATGGTCAGATTACGGGGTATATGTTGATGTACCTCTGGGCTAGAGTGTCCAATGCGGGCCTGGATATCCCAGAGCGTCAGCGGCAGTTCCCCGGAGCCCACCTCAGGAAGGCGGCTTCGCCCAAACAACCTGAGGGGCAGGGAGTAGGCCTGTGGGTGATCCGAGCAGAGGAGCGAGACGATCGTCGTCTTCCCGGAGCCGTTGGGGCCGAACACTCCCCAGCGTTCGCCACGACGGACGGTCCAGTACAGCCCATCCTCCTCCCCGTCATCCGTGTTGCGCGTCCAGTTACCCAGCGCAATCTTATCGCCGTAGCGGACCTTGCACCCGTTCATCTCCACCACGGGTTCGGCGCTGGGGTTAACAGGAGAGAGTTTGTGAATGGGCCCCTGGGAATCTTCATCATGGGATGTCGTCGAGGCCGGGGAAGGAATCGTCCGACCAATGTCCTCCAGTGTTTTCAACGGGAGGGTCGGATCTTCGCTGACCGCGCCATTCTCAGCGCCCTTAACGTACTTCCTGAGGCCGTCAAGAACGACATCCCTGGGGCCCATGGACGCCACCTGGCTATCCGTCCGCAAGTAGATGAGATGCGTGACCCAATCAGGCAGAGGGTCCTGGGGGCGGGCGCTGAGCACCAGTCGCGGGCTTGCCTTCTCAGCAAGCGACTGCAGCAGAGGACTCAGCCCTGTCACGGTGGGCGGATCCAGGCCCATGAAAGGCTCGTCAAGGAGCAAGACCTCCGGCTTCCGCAAGAGAGCCCTCGCGATCCGCGCCCGTCGTCCCTGCCCATTGCTGAGAAAGGTAACGGGGAGGGCGAGGAGATGTGACAGCCGCAAGTCTTTCACAACACGGTCGAAGAATTCGGGCGAGACGTCGCCATCCTCCTCCCCGGGGAGCTTTGGCAGCGGGTTCAACTCCGTGTTGCCGAGAAGGAAGTCCTGTAGGGACCAATCCGTAATCTCTCGCCTCGACTCGTACCGCGCAGACAGGTAGGCCGACGTGGTGGCCGAGGAGCCGGCCCCCATGCTCTGCTCTGCATCGAATCCCACATATTGCACAGCTCTGTTGGGGCTCTTTAATCGTGTCGTGACGGCATCTGATGAGAGGTATGGGTACGACCTTGCGGTCGGTGGGTCGCAGAGCAGCCGGCCTCTCAGAGCCTGCAGGAATGTCGTCTTCCCAGATAGAGACGGGCCAACAATGCACCAGTTATGGGGTGTCGCGGACCAGGAGGGAAGCTCGAAGGTCAGGTCGCGGAAGAGCGGCGGGTTTGGATGCGAGGTTGAGGAATTGGGGTGGTGGCGGTAGAAGGTGCCATTGGCGATGCGGATTATGGCGGAGCGGGATGTTGGGAGAGGCATCTTTTAGATGTGCCAGATTGGCTGGTCGCGGCACATCTCAAAATGCTTCGAGAAGCCGAGAATTGATAGATATAAGGCCCCATGGGAGCTGCTGGTGACTGGTGACGCACCGAGACCGGCGGCAAGCTGAAGGCCGGTGATAGTCGGGATTAAGGTGGGGAACAGCTGTAGTTGCACTGAGGTGGTGGTTGTGGGGAGAAGAGAGCTTTGGCAGGTATCAACCGAACGCGAGGCTGCCTGGAGCCTGCATCGACATACGTAGGGTAACCACCACCGCCATCAACCTCCAACGAGCACAACGCATCAACCCCTCTCTCGATCGACTCTCCGCTAGACTCTTCTCCTAGGTGTCATCGATTTCGAAAAACCCACCACTTAATTATTCGCAAGTTTCCTCAGGGAGGCCCAAGCACACACAGACAAAATGGTGAAGCTCCCCGCCTTATACCATCCACCACCGCCCGCCATGCAGACCCCCAGCTAACCTCCCTCTCCATCACAGTCGCTCCGAATCGTACCAGAGAACAGCAAGGCCACCTCCTTCAGCCACACGAACCGCACCACCTCCGCGCCCTCCGCCCCGGGCGTCCACGACACCCTCCGCCACGGCGTCGCCCAGTCCCCCTTCGACGCCGCCGCCGGCAAGCCCTCCTCCGCACACCCCCTCGAGGCCCGCCTCAAGAGCTGGGAGGCCACCCAGGAGGCCCTCCGCATGGAGACCCTGCGCCGAACCTACGGCATCGCCGAGCCCGTCCGCCGCGGCATGGAGCTCAAGATCGTCCGCGACGGCGAGTGGCGGCCCCTCGCCCTGGGCGGCGGCCTGCCCAGCGTCCACGAGGACATCCTGAAGGGGAGGGACGACATGATCAGCTGGGAGGATGTGTACACCGGTGATGAGATGAGGGGCGTTCCTGGAGTTCACGATGAGATGGAGCGGAAACTCAAGATGCAGTAGTGATTTTACTGAGAAGATGGATTAAACAAAGACTACGATAAATAGAGAAATTCATGCCGTAGCTGCGCTACAAAAACAACTCATTTTGGACCAAAATATCTCGGGGCAGTGAGGTTTCATATTGGAACGTCAAAGACGTGAGCCTAGACACGTGCTCCTTCTCCAGATTCTCCAGAGAGATACCTGGAGGCATCGTGGGCATCTCAGTGTTCTTTGAGAAATAGGACATAGGCCAGTTGTTCACGTATGACAGTCATAAAACGATACCTGTAATTCTATCCTGCTATGACTATGCTAGGCCAGTCCAAACAAAAACGAAAATGCAGACGGTGTTCAGTCGCTCTGCAACATGACTTTGCACTAATGGGAAAACGATTAAAAAAAGAATTACAGTTGTACAAAAAAAGATACGCCGATATTGACTCCGCTTCTCCGTCGGTGCAACACAATGATTTCATTGCTCATCAAACGCTTCTTCCCATGTCGCAAATGATAGTCCAAAGTGGGTTCGTAGACAGATAAAGAGAGTGAATGGGCAATGTCTTGGGGGGGAGGTAATGACGCGAGAAGGGGAATTCCCAGCCCTGGCTCAATGTCGAAGTGGTGGTACTTTTACTTCCTTTCGTCTCAGCTGCCGGGGGCCCCTGAAAGAGGGATGTCGTTGCGTTTGAGAACCATATTGATGATACTGGCGCTATCGGCCAGTGGTAGATTGTGAAAAGTAGATCCAGAAAAAGGAAAGTAGACGCCAAATGAAGTGAACATGACGAGACCTGGAGAGAAGAACCTGAGTAGATTCTCTTGGCGCTGCACATTGCTGGGCCTGCGGGCATCGCCTATAAAACAACGCAACATCCTCCTGACCGCTGGCGTTGACTGTCGCCGTTTCCTGCAGATGGGTTCTTGCCACCTGCCTTGGGCTCTTCCTCATCTAGATCCTGAGGTCGGATGCTCATATGAACCACATTAGGATTCTCCAGGCTGAAGTGGTATGCTGCGGCGCTCGGGTCAGTTACATGATCAGGGGAATGGGTCGATCGAAACCCCCCAAGGAGAACCGAGGCGGGAAACGATAGGCAGTACCGGATAACTCACTCTTCAACGGCTCCTTGTCGTCTAGAAGTTTGCCAAAATGAATAAGCCTGATGCTGCTTGGGCTTGCAGGCTTAGACTCCCAATCACTTCTCCATTCCCTCAATATTAACTCTTTTAAAGTGTAAACACTGATGCTGAAAGGATCCGGCTGGGAGTTCTCATTCTCCTCGGGGATGGGGACGTTCCTTCGGTTCAAATACCGAGCATCGATCTTGTACGGATGACGGCTGCCAGTGGTGAGCAACAGCGTGATATTGCATACAGGACCGGCGTCCGGCCCGCCGCTCGCAACGGTGGTGATCTCGTCTTGGGCGGGACCGATCGCCATAGGTGATAGAGGAGAAGGGTCTACATCTTTTCCCGGGGCTGCTGCTGCTGTCGTCGTCGTTATCGCCGCTGGTTTTTGGTCGACTTTTTCGGGCTGGGCTGGGGCGGCTGCTGTTGAAGCGTCGGCGGAAGCGGCAGCGACGGTTTCGGTGGTAGCGTTCTTGCTGGATTCTGGCTCGTCCTTGGAGGGGCTTGAGCCTCCTTGGGAGGGCTGGGCGATGCTCTGCATTGGTACGGCGTCGCTTGGTTGTCCTAGGTGTGACTTATCGTCGGAGGAAGTGTTGTTGTTGTCGCTGTCCACAACAGAAGCCGCTGGAGCCGACATGACTTGTCCGTTGTATGCAGGGGTCCAGTATCAGGGTGCTGCCCCAGACGAGCTGAACGGGGGGTGTGGTGTAAAACTAGCGCAGCCAGACTAACACATTCGCGGCGTGGGTAGGGAGGAAAGACGGGCGCCTCAACACGATGAATTGAGGCGAAAGGGCGATGAAATGTCTAGATAGCAGTCTGGGAGGCGTGGAGTGTGGAGGGACATTAATCCCTTATGGCGTCGGGTCTGATGCAAGGACAGAACGATGGATGGATACATCATTAGGCGGGTCAGCACGAAGCTGCTGGGGCGCTCCTTGGTGGGACTGTGCTAGCATGTAGCCTGTAGCGGGAGCCTGGAGGGCAGGTTAGCAGAGACCATCAGTGTGGGGGAGGCTGTGTGCAGCGCCGTGCCCATGCTATACCGTCAATGTCAATGTACAGTAGCGGCCATCCCCGTACTAATCCATGCCGACTCGGACGAGCAGGTCGCCGTCTTCTAGCCAAGATTGCTTCTACTAGGACTGTGTCTGTCTGTTTGGCACTTTGTGTCGCCACTAGACCACCTCGCCTTGCAGTGCGTCAGGCCAGCTTGTCGCCGGTCGCGGGCTATCCGCGGTCGCTCGCTGTAGGTGATGGCGATGTACCAGACGCAGGACGATGGTTCTGGAAAGTGGGCAAAGGAAGTGTGCATCCGCTCTCTGCATAACTCCCGATGCAAACACATTCGGTTTGTGAGTACGACTGCTACCACCAGCCCAGTGTCTCCCTCCCCGTCTACGAGTATCCTCAGATTATTATCCATCAACCCGTTTCACGTGTGAACTGACCTCGAACACAGCCATAGCCAAGGCGAACCATGTGCGTATCATCCAGGTGCTAAGCGCAGTTAGCACCCAGTAGTGCAGCCTACTAGCGAATTGGCCCGATCCTACGATGCTTGGCTTCCAGTGTGGCTTCTTGTGGATGCGCTCCTCTTCTTCCATCGCTTCCACGTTGGAACGCCCGGTACATACCTTACCTATGCACATGTGCATGTAGGCGTGATGTATACGCAAACTCCATAGTGATTGCCAGGCATCGGGCCCTGTGTTCCTTTTCCCGATGGAGATTGGGGGCAGGGGACGACGCAAATTCCTCGCCAGGGTACTAATCGATCTGTGGTGTGACCCTCCTTCAGGCTACACAGTCTACATAAAACACTGACACTCTGAAGAGAAGAAGGACCCTCGGGGATTCTCGTCGCTGCAGCTGGCCGGTCTGTCTAATTTTTCCTTGGCAGAGGTACTATACACCCCATTCTACCAATCTCATCGCCATTGGATGAATACATGTCTCATTGTCGCAGCCATTCTCTGTAGTATTGCCAATTTTGGCTTGGCCTATATCAATCAGTGTTGGTAATAATTAAGTAACATCCAACTGCAGCTCGGAAGCCATCCCGTACAAGTGGGTGACCTAGAAGATCGCCCTCCGACATCACGGACATGGGATTTCAGCGCAATCTGGGGGACAGCTCACACAACAAAGAACAAAGAATGAAGATAGACAATATGTCTTTTTACTTGTCCATTATTATAATTACCATGTTGATCGGGGAATACTCTACCTGTAACTGATATACCCAACTGAGTGCTGCGTTGGAGTGTGCCGCTCTCCATGTCACCCACCGCCGTGGTCGGATGACAGACTGGGGGTGGAGCCTCGGTGTGAGACCATCCACTGGGAATGCCTCCAGAAGGCTCCTCTCCGCATGCAAGAACCATAATGCGACCTCCAGCCGATTGCGACATCTCCACCAACAGATGAGCAAGATGGGCTGCGTTTTCCTCGGTACTTTGCTGCTGCCCCCCGGCACTTGGCTTCGCCTCTGTCGATACCACCTGGAACTGGAATTGTCGGGCAAACCGAACGCCCTCCCATCTTCCTTTGGTCAACTACACAGCCCCCCCACCTCGCTCATGCCTCCAGAGTTCGACACCACCTCCACATCCTCCCAGTAAACTCGCCAAGTTGCTAGACATGTTGCATTCCAATAGTAGATTTTGATGCCGGCCAGGCCAGGCCTAAAAGTCAACTAAAACTTAGTTTATCTCGCCTGGGCCGGGGAATTCCAAGACATCATCCGGGGGGCACGACGCAGCGTGACATTGAAATCGCTACACCAATGGTCTAACCCTGCCATCGTTTTGGGGCTGTGGCGAGTGAAATTTCCAACTATTGGGCTGGCAATAAGCAATTATACACTTTTATTGATGTGTAATTCTGGTTATTGCAGATACTTCTCTGCTTATGACTCCCCATCACTTTGGTGTCTCCTTCTTTCTGCCACCCGCCTGGCAAATGCAGGTCTGCAGGTCAGCTGGACAATCCTGCACCAGGGTTCCAATAGATACCATTTCTACCCCAAATTGCGACTTGGACTGCGAAGCAAAGGTGATCAACTAGACTCTTAACTCATCATCACCAGCCGGGTATAGTGCATCATATGGCTTATCGTCCAAATCTGCGGGGACCACATACCACTAATACATTTCAGCTTCTGACATAGACTCGTAAGCCAATAGCAGACATTAACTAACTTGCCCTGCTTTTGTATATACACAGCTTCGAAAAACAAAAGATCCAAATTCAATGCCAATTTCACAGATCTAAGAGGTCCCCATTGTTGGCCGAGGCCTGATTAGGCTGGAGAACTGTCTGTGGTGCATGAGCGCTCACCACGTAGCTCGGTGTTGTGGGCCCGCCTCCACCAAACAAGTCATCGGCTTGATCTATCCTCATGGCAGACATCTGCTGTGATCCAACGCTGGCAAAGTAGGCATCGGCGTCATTCACAGCTTGTGCCAGGTTGCCTTCACTTCCATTTGCTGATGCTGCTGCCCTCGTCCGAGTGTCAATATTGTTTGGCTGACCGCCCCTTCCAAACATGCTAATGCTCTTCTGGTTATCTGAGAGCATCCTATGCTTCTGCAGGGCAGGGGAGTCGTGTAGTTTCTTGGGGCGGGCGTTTCTGAAGACGGTCTGGACAGGCTTCAGGTAAATCGTCGCCAGCGTTCCAACATTGAGACACATCTCTTCGAGGGTGGCGTTGTCCAGCCGCTCTGATTCGGCCGTGATGGGTGGCTTTTCACCCATCACAATCTGCTCCGCAGCCTTAATGTCCGTCGAGAGAAGTCGCCAATACATGTATGCCCTGTCTCGGAGATCAGGGTTATCCGTCTCCTCCGTTGCCCACTTCAAAACTTTTGGTACCAATTCCTGGCCCT